CGGGGCCTCCACTTCCCGAAAAACATTCCTGTATCGTATACCAGTACTTCAGATCCCGCACACTTGGAAAACGAGTAACAACCTTCCGTCCACACTGACACTGACTTTTATACAATCAGCCCAGCCTTGGCAGTTTCGTACTGCTTTACGTGACTGTTAACTGTGTTTTTATCCTCATTTATCGACGAAATTTTGATTAAAACGGACATGAAAAAAGTGTTTTCCTCATGCAGATATGGGTTGCACGCGGACTTCCAAGCCTTGCAATTAGAAATGCAAGTGGTGCAACCAAATATTGCACTCATTTTGACTGAAAGACGCACGAATGACGTGACACATCGAGAATGAGAACTCCAGCTACAGCCAAAACAAGTTTTGTCCCTCCCGGAAAATGGCTCATGTAATCACGATAAGCACATTCGGAAAGTCTGAATTCATTCCCCATCCTCCACCTCACAGACTGCAAATTAAATTTCCACATTTTTTTAAGCTTTCCGCTCCAAACAGTAAGACTTTTACGGCAGAGGCATGTTTGATGCAATTATGAGTCACCCTGGCCTAATCTGAGAAGATGACTTTTGGTGGTGATCAGCAAAGCATTGAGTTGGAGGATGGGCAGCAGATCAAAGGCTGCGAGCACTATAAGTACTTGGGAGTGCGGTTGACCCAGGATGGAAGAACTGATCAAGCGATTAAGGAAAGAAACACCCTGGCAAGGAAGGCTACAGCGATGTTAAATGGAATCCTCTGGGACCCTCGGATTTCCAAGGAGAACAAGAGGAGAATTTACGACGTTGTAGTCAAGAGTATTCTTACATATGGATGTGAAGTTTGGCAGCTGAAGGAGCGGACAAAGGGGATGCTAAGAGGACACAGGGGATGCTAAGAGCAACGGAGATGGATTTCTGGAGGAGGTCTGCTGGAATTTCTAGGAGAGATCGGGTCCGCAATGAAAGAGTGCGTCAGATCATGGGAGTCGAAAATGACATCATATTCGACGTCATGACCAGACAGCTTGTCTGGTATGGTCATGTCAATAGAATGACGGACGAAAGGCTGCCAAAGAAGTTGCTTGATTGGGTTCCTCCTGGAAGGAGACGAAGGGGACGCCCAGTGAAAGGGTGGCGACAGGGGATTTTAGAAGAAATGAGGGTTTGTCAACTCCCTGAAGGGCTTTGGGAGGATAGGGGACTTTGGCGGCTAGGGGTCGCAGAGCGCCAAAGAGCGCTATAAAAGCGACTTTATACATACATACATGAGTCACCCTGGTTCAATGATTACCCAATAACCAAAAGCCTAAATAACCAAAACCCCAAAACCCTTCCATTACAAACAATGAAATCGCATGTATTTCAAAAATACAAAAAGAAACGACAAGTATAAAGGTTGAAGGATTGGAACGAGATGTTCCTCTCAGCTGGGGCCGGTTAGGTTAAGCAACTAAACTAACCTCACGGCTAGGCGGGAAGTATTAAGGGAGGTTGAAGGGGGACAGTCCTGTCCTAGTGTGAATTACGATTGTCGCCAAGGCCTTGCAGTTGGGCAATTGGACCTTTTCGCATTTTGGAACTACCATCCCTGGCTCAGTTTAGGAACAACGTATGTGCCAACGTATTCCTCAGATCAAGTTGTTATATTAGCATGTGCCATCAGCTTCCTTGTGCACATGAGTGTTTTTACAGATGAGCCAGATATTTTAGTTCCTAATTGCAAAATGTAATCGATTTCATTGACTCGTATTCTACAATTAATCCAGGTCTCACTACCGCAGGCTATCCGATTGGGGATATTGGGCTCGACGCACCCGCGGAGCTGAGTCATGTGTAGGCTGCCCCCTTCTGGGGCCGCATAAGATCGGGTGCCTCGAGGGCTGAGCGAGACGTAGCTGGACTGCCCTCTTTGCCCTCCAGTCCTCGGCTCCAGAGCCCTGCCGTGGGGTTGCCGCAGGGTTTGGCGCAAGCTGGGCCTAGGCTCTCCTCCTACGCCCTTGACTCCGGGTACAATGATGGCTTTGGCAGATCGGTCCCGGGGGATGGGGGGACCCTCCCCAAGTGGGGGTCGTAAGGGGCGCTGGCTTCACTGGGGCCGGGGTCGGGGATTCGGGGACTCCTGTTCGAATAGGGACATCCAACGGGAGGAAATGAGGATAGAGCGCCTGATGGACCACACTTGCACGGGGTGTGGCCTGGAGGGGTCGGTAGTGGGTACGGAACACGGCGGCATGCTCGAACCCTACATGACCGGGTTTTTCCATCTCACAGCGGTCGGGTCGGTTAGGGGTCGCCTCGGCGGCTCTTCACCAGGTCATGGCCGTTGCCGTCCCGGTATTCGGTGGGCCCCTTTCATGGGGGGCGTTTCGGTGATCCTCATAATGGGGGCACTGTATCGAATTTTTCCCCTCATCCCAAAAAAAAAAAAAAAAAAAAAAAAAAAAAAAAAAAAAAAAAAAAAAAGATCTTACAGACTCGTGGCTTTTAGTAGGGAGAAAGAGGAGGAGAAAAGGAAAAATGAGACGCTGAGAAATAAAATATTTTCCTTTATTTTCTATCCCTTTTCTACTTATTCTCTCCGTCCTCTTCCATTTTGTATCTCCTTAGTCATCTCTTGCTCCTATTTAGACGTATTTCTGTCAAACAGAACTATGTCCACTAAGACATGAGCCCTGAGGCACATAAGAATATATGCACATTAGAGCCCATGTCATAATACACATAGTTTCGTTCGGTAGAAATACGCCCATGTCACTTTCCTTTCTTCCTCCTCTTTTTCTTCTAATTTTGATTGGCAATTATTTTATTTTAAAAGTGGCATCGGTGACCCAATTTGATCTCATTTTGATCTCGAAAAACGAGCTTGTATGAATCTTATTTTAAAATTCACGGTGGTTTGAAAGACTCGTGGCTTTTATACTCTACTCTTCGTCTCCCGAATGGAAAGGAGGAGCAGACGAAGAAGGGTAAGAAGAAGTAGAGGGAAAAAAGGAAGAATAAGACGCTTGACGATTCCATGCAATGAATTTAAATTTAGTTCCATAGTTTTTTGTACCTCTCGTGTTACAATTGCTCCTCAATTCATTTTATGGTAAATTTTTCGTTGCTTAGGATTTTTTTATCAATTAAATACACAAAATGTGTGTTGGGGTACCCTGGTATAAGAAAATTTACTGCGAGAATTAGCAATGTCTTCCCTCCCATCAATGCAAGAGCAGTACTTATACTTAAAGTGAATTTTCTTGCACCGGTGACCGTGACCTATCTGCTGAAAATAATCAACCTATTTGCGTTTTTTTAAATACTAAGACCCTTAAAAACAAAAGAATTAGGATGAAAAGAATCGAAAAGCAACGAGTCGGTTGTCATAGTCACAGTATCGCGTTT